TTCTGTAAACAATTTTAAACAAGGCTGGATGTGCAACCCTGTATGAAAATATACTAATTTATATAATATAGCATGATTATACACAAAAACTAGTATTTTATTGATATAAACAACCATATTATATTTGATACAATTGTCCTACAGAGATAAAGGAGGATGTGTTTTTCTTTTTATATTGTATATTTTTATATTTTGAAATCATAGATTTTTATTCAATATTAGGTATAAATTTTTTAATGATATCATGTGTCGACAACCTAGTCAACAATGACAATTCAACTCAAGTCAGTTGCAAGTTGATTTACTTTATTTAAAGTAACAAAAATCGAATAAGGGCAAACTTATATGAATAAATTTTTTAATTTTGATAATTTTTTGTTATTTTTGTTACTTTTGGTTTTTTTCAGAATTTCTACTCATTCGCTTCTCTTTCAAATAATTCCAAGACGCAACAGCTTACTACCGGCGTTACTGCTATAGTTTCGTTTAGTTTGTTTCGCCGTTTAAAAATATTTATAATTATCAAAAATATATCAAAATAAAATGGCTGTAGCAGAAAGAAAACATAAATTAGTCTTATCACTAAGCCCCACTTAGAAACGCTTCTAAATATCATGTTATTAAAAATAATATAAAAAAAGACAAAAGAGAAAGGCGGGACAAATCACTATTGTATGTGACAACTGCTTCGCTCTAAACAAGAATTAATATTTATTTTATATATTATTAATAGCAACAAAATCGTAATTATCTTGACTTATTCCATCATTTGATAAAGAAGTAACTAAAACTGTACAATTTTAATGATTTTGTTCAAAGTGTGAAAGCAGTGAAACGAAATACAAGTTTCAAAATTTTGCAGGTATGATTGAATTTAGTTTGATAAAGTTCTTTAAAATTGAATCTGTAACTAAGTGAGCTTTTTTTCTTTTTAGACCACAGACATTTTTTGCTAGAGGACAAAATCACTCAGTATATGTTAAATAATTTGTCTCCTCGTCCGTATATTGGAAAACACCTCTAAAATCAAGTTAAAACGTGGTTCTTACAATTTTTTTTATCCTTCATATCTTTAATGGCTCTGTAATTGAATTTTTTAATAAATTATTACCATTTTTTAGTCTTTGAAATATGAAAATTAACCATAAAAACAGAATAACTAGTAAATTAAAACTACATAGGTAAAACTACAAATGCTTGTATTATGCGAGAGAAAATAAAAATTAATCAAACTTCTAACATTAAAATATAATCACAAAAACTTATAATTGGTTTTGTGGTTTATCCTCCTCTGGCTAATTGCCATACAGAGGCCACATTACCAAGGACCGCAAAGATAAGTTCAGCTCCTAATGGAGTGTCATAACCCGTTCTACGGACCAAGAAAAAGGTGAGTTTGGGAAGAACGAAGATAGATTAGAATGAAATACTGACTATGTGATTTTTCTAACTCGATTACAGAAGTAGCCGAGTTAGAAAGATAACATAGAGAAAGCTGACAGGACTTGCACACGATATTAAAAGGTGCAATACGTACCGTTAATAAGGTCACCTAGTTAATGTACGCCGACAAAGCCACTTGACATGAAGTCTTCATCAAATAACTTTGTCGCCAAAAACTTATAATTTATATGACATAGTAATTATATTATACATAATTATAACTATAATTTCAATTGTTTTTATATTATAACAATAATAATTGCGTTTATAATAAAATAATAGTTAACTAAACGTTCGAAATATATTTTAGTTAAATCATTTTTGCAAAAACTTTTCAAAAATAACTATTCAACATCGTTTATCATCCATATTAGCTTATTTCGTAAAAAAATCAATTAATAATTTTTGGATCAAGTTTTTTGAAAAACGGTTATAGTATTAAGCTTTAATTTGCGTAGGTATTTCATACATTTTATTTTTGTTCCATACTTGCTATACACATAGATATCTACCTCTATAAATAAACCACGTCCAATTATCTTTGCATCAGTTGCCATCAAGCATTTTAGTTTTACAAATTCAAATTGACATATTGAAATATCCAATCATTTTATCATGTATTTTGTTGCACATATGGTTAACAACTTTATATCTAACTCTCTTATGTTCGTCTTCATTTTCACCTTAGATAAAATAAACTGCTCTAAAAAAGCAGTCTTTCAGTTCTATGGACTCACATAGGTTGCTGTTTTCCTACGGCAAAATTATGTTTCTTAACAATTTAAATGATTTTCTCATAGGATTGATTCCTGTCATAGCAACGTTATCACCTTATTTGCAACTTTTAGATTGTGGATGGTGTGCACTCAATATATATTTCATCAGTAAAAACACTTTTTGAACTGCAAAACACTTTTGGATTTTTTTCTATTCTGGATCTATCAAAGCAGATACAAGAAATTAATCTGACAGGCAATGTCGCAGTATTCTGGATTCGAAATGCGTCTGAAAGATTTTTAGAACTTAGATCAGATAAGGAATTTAATAGAATTTTATAGGCAACAAAAAAAATACCTGGAATCAAACAAGACAATGAGTCTGAAACCAAAGTGACACAGAGACAAAGATTAATATCTAAAACATAATGCAATTCAGTAATTACTGAGAAGCTTACATTGGGCAATGCAATGACTGGTCTTGTCGAATCAGAAAAAAAATAATAATAATAATTTTGAAGCAATTAATGCTATTTGAACCAGTTTGAGTGAGAGATTTGATCAGGACGGATTAACAGTTGTAAAATATATAGAAAAAGTTTTGATTTCATTGGTGAATAAACAAGATTCCCCACAGTTTTTTTTGGATTGCCATTTTTTAATGATATTGACATCTTGGAACTAAAGTTAAGTTTTAGATGCTACCAACAATTACTATTTTTAACAATGCTATTGCATCAATTAACAGAGTAATTGATACAATAAAATCTCTGAACAATGCTGTTGCCAATCTGGAAACAGAGTGTTTCCAGAGTGGCAACAACTGCAGATATTTTCAATGCCATGCCAGCTGCAATAGTCGCCAATGAAGCTTTATAAACCATAAAGCTTTACTAAACTATGCAACATCTATCGAAATCATCATGTGAAAGAAGCTTTAGTGTAGAGTAAAAACATGGAGTAAGGTCACAAACTGGAGGCAATCACCTGAACAACATCATGTTTGCTCAGATACTCAAAAAACAAATCGACAAAATTAACATTAAAAAAATTCCTAAATAGTTCGTTGAAACGAATGACAGTAGAATGAATTCGCCAAATACTCTTAAAATCGTTCTAGCACTTTTAAAGAATATCATTGCATGAAACGTGCTATTGACATTTAGAAAGTAGCTAAGAAACAGTTGATTTATTTAGTAGACTGTTTAATAGCATGTTTTAACCTTTGTTGTTTTGTGCACTGTAAACGCGATTCGTAAAAGTAAAAGTAGTAGACAAAGTGTCATTTTATGTTTATTTTTTGGAAAACGGTAGGGTTAGTTAAAAAGTACATTTAGATTAGATATTATATATAGTAAAATTTTGTGTTGATATTTTGGCAAGTGCTATTGTGTTTTGGTTTACCACCCCCTGCCCTTAGGCCCTTCCGGCGAACCTGGAATCAATCCCAGTGTTAACTCGGTACAACTCTAGGAAAAAATTTTTATACCAGCAATTTTGTATATCTTAAAAATAATGCGTAATATATTCTCTCAGCAGAACGTGGGTTATTTTTAAGTCTTAGTCAAAATATTCTAGTGCCGTTTTTCCGTTATAAGAAGAAAAGTTTTTGCCGTAACAATTTTTGAATGTTCTTTATAACAAACCACCATTTTAAAGGGGCTTTACCTTCATTACTTAGTAATGGGTAAATAACTATAAGAAGTGAAGTCCTCTTCAGTTACAAATGCATACGTGTCTGAATAAACTGCTATACGTTCAAATTTTGATAGAACGTATGTTTCTATATTAAATTCATTATGAATAATTATAAAAATTTTCAAATTTATGAACAGTTTTACATTTAACAAACTTTCTAAAGTTTTTCAATATAAATTATAAAAGAACAACAAATGTATAAGAAAATTTGAGAAAAGTCCAATCCGTGTATTTTAGAAACCAAGCACGCTAAAACAATAACGGTAAAACATTTTTGTAAATTGTTTAAATTGAAACCCTGGGGCTACTACTTCTTCTAACAACTCATCCAATATTGGAATTTTTAAAAAAAGGAATTGTTAAAAATTTCAATATTAGAATCCTGTAGTTTTTTATACAATTCCATATTAGAAAATAAAATAAAATAAAAAAATTTTATAAATTAAATTTTTCTTTTTTCTTATAATTTTTTATAATAGTGTTCTATTAATTGACTTTTTAAAAAATTAACAGAAATTTTAAATAATTTGACTTTGGGGCTTTTATAAAGTACGTACGCAGTAAAACTGCAACCTTTGGAATCTCTTTTTAACACTTTTGTATGCCACTATACGTTTTCATCTACTTTGCTGCAAAGCGGAAAAAAATGGGATTTTCCCTATTGCGGACGTCATAGTCATCAAAAACTGGAACTTTTTAGTCAAATTTTTTTTTTAATTTTTTAACAAATAACAATAATAAAATAATAAATGTAAATACAATTTCTAATCAATTTTGAAATTAATTTCAGATATGTATAGACTATATTAAGATATTGATAAATATTTATAGGTTATACCTTAGTTAAATCGTTAGAAAAATTTAGATTTTATATGCATCAAGTGAGAAAAGGTAGATGTAAAAGCAGAAAAACTTGAAGAAAGTACATTTCAGATGATTTGAACAAAGTACATTTTATAAAAGAAGATGTTTAAGACCTTATATGTTGAAGAAAAGGCATTATGAGAAACTTTTAATCCGTGCAAGTTCGGAAACTAGGACACTAAAACAATTATAATGTTGATTATAAAGTCATTGATAGCTGTTACAGATACTAATAGGCTATATTGAAAAGTAACTGTTATGTATTAAAAAAAAAATTACCTTTCATATTGATATCAATTACAATAAGTGGTGAAGGAGTGGTGGTTTTGGTGGGGCCAACGGATACTCGAGATCGATCTAAAAAAATTAAAAAAAAAAATGATTGATAATATCCAATGGGTACCTTTGCATATCCTGGTGGGCACCAATACATTTCAATTAAGTCTGTCTGCATCTTAACATTAATATTAACTGGAAAATGCTATTTATACTTCTGCTTTGTCCGTTTTCATTATGTCTATTTAGATCTCAATGATAAGGCATTTTAATAATAAGACCTTTTAGACGTCGTCAGATGTATCTGAGACATATTAGTAAGACGGCTACTATAAACTTTGAAGACTATTTACTCTATATACAAAACATTATATAATATATTACAATTTCTTAAGTTTCAACTATATTCAACCTTATATACCTTGTTTACTAACACAGTTGCTTATGCTAAAAAACACTAACTAGATAAAAACGTTTTATTCTAGTGTTCGATGCCATATATCAGTCTATCCAATTAAAATATTGTTCTTTCCTTTTTGTGGTTTTATCTATTAAATAATTTTATTTTAATGCAAACTTTATTATCAACTTTTTAATTTCTTTTCTCTTGATATCTCAAGCTTAGTCACCAATATTCAATTGCAGTAATAGATATTGTTATAAATATAATAATAAAAACAACAATATCTACTATAAAATTTTTATCAACGCATAGATTTAAGACCAAAGTGATTGCGTTGCTAAGAGTTCACTATTATCACCAGTACTTGCCACTTTGTTTGTTAGTGTGAGAAAAAAAAGGATTACAATCTTATTATAGAGTAAGACTAGTGCTTTATAAATGCAATGTAGAAGCCATAAAAACAAACGTTGAATTAACGTTGAAAAGTAAACGTTAAAATAACGTTGAAATTAGGTTGAAATTTAGATGTGAAACTTCGTTGACGCAAATGTAATTATTCAAGATTTAAATAAAATTTAATATTTCACATATGTTAGTGCGTTGGATGTACATTTACATATATATGTGTGTGTACATTGATATATATATGTACATACATATATATATGTAAATTGATATCAAACCATGACCCACAAATTTTAAATGGAATATTCAAGGGTTTTGTACATAGAGCATTTAATGTATGCAGTCAGAAACATATAGAAAATAAACTGAAATTCCTTATTCAAGTATTTGTCGAAAATGGTTACAAATATTCCAATCTTATAAAAATTATAAAAGAAATAAAACGAAAGTACAAAAAACCTCTAGTGACTACTAAAAACATTGACAACATCACCAGTACGTATCTAACAATTTCATTACCTTGGGTACCAATATTGTCTCCCAAATTGCGTAAAGTGTTTAGGAAGGCAGGATATAAAACGGTCTTTAAATCAAACTTAAACCTAGAAGCAATATTAACTTCAAGAAATAAATCCAAACTACAAAGGAACAGCCACCGAGGAGTTTACCTTATTAAGTGCCATTGTAACAAAAAGTATATTGGTGAAACAAAAATGCAAATAAAAACACGCATGCAACAACACAAAAACAGTACAATAGGAAATAAAACAGAAAGATCAGCATTAGCCACACACATGAAACATTGTGCACAACAAATTAACTGGGACAGTTGCAGAACTCTAAAAGTCAATAACAAAAAGTTTGATAGGAAAGTTCGTGAGGCGCTTGAAATACAGTACCACCAATGTGCCCCTCAACAAAGTGGTATCAATTTAGATGAGGGACAATATGTGTCAACAAAATTCTGGACACCATTTCTAATGCACTTACGTCAGAAAAAGACGAAACCATTCCATTGACATATAATAAAATTGCCGTTTAAAAATAATATATAAACAAAAACAAACAAAATCTTTTAAGCTGAAGACGCTGGTCACAACAATCTAGCGAAAATTTCTTTTAAAAAATAAAAAATAAATTTAGTATCGAAAGAAAATCGTATTTATTGATGTTTATAAAATAATAATTTACATACTCTCATACATGATGTCTACATTCAAAAATATATATATATATATATATATATATATATATATATATATATATATATATATATATATATATATATATATATATATATATATATATATATATATATGTAATAGAAAACAACCTTGCCATGCTACTTTATTTTAATTTTATATAGTTTATGACATCAAAAACATAAAACGCGTTTTATATGAAACGTGTTTTACCGTTAGTGTGAACCGGGTATAAGTTAGTTGAATCAATGATAGATCAACTTTGATTTTTGGTTTGCTTTCAAAGTTGATCCAACGTTTTTTTTCTCATTGATTTGTGTTTCTATTCCAACCAAAAATCAACTTTTTCAACCATGAATTTCAACGTTGATTGTGGTTGCTGGCTATAGTTGATAAATAACACTAACACTATTGTAATAATATTATCTCTACAGTAATAACACTAACGCTGCAGTGATAAAATTATCTCTACGTGAATAATTTTTTTTTTTAAAAAATGTTTTTCTCGTTCAGCCGGACAAAGGGCAACAAAAGATTTTTAAAAAGTTTAAATATTAAAAAAAAGTGTTAAAATATAATACGACTTAAAAATTTAAAATAATTGTCATACTTAAATGTTTGAATGACGTCATTTGAAGTTCACCGTAATTTAAAATTTATTTTGTAATGATGATGTTATAATGAAGTTAGATTAAGCCTGATAAGTATTCGTAATTATGGCTTTATGAGTTTATCGTGGTTAACGATAAACTTTATAAAAAGATGTTAACAGGTAAAATCTCAAGACACTCAAAATTAATTATTTTTAAAAATATTTGTTATTTTTGTTCTTAAAAGGAATATATCAGTGAGAGATTTCTCTCGGCTGCTAGCTGACATTGTTTTTCAGAAGTGGATGAAAACAAATGCTCTTTTTAAACCTTCACTGATTGTTAAAAGGAAAACTTTGATAGAAAAAAGTGAATAATGCTGGAATACTATCAGAGATATCGCACATGGGAAAGCTTCTAAGACACATGTGTCTTCTTGGGAATCAAAACTGGATCAGTTATTAGATATCACATGTTGCAAGTGTAAAATCGTATTATGTAACGAGTAATGTTTGAAAAATTATTCTTATGGTAATAAAGTACATATTGAGTGCACTTGCATCAAAGAGAAAAGGATTCCAAAGGTTGAACTTTCTTAGCTTATAGTTAAAAGAGATAAAAAAAGAATCTTTTTCAAAGTACCAGATGATTTTAAATGATAATAAAGAGTCAGATTTTGCTAGATAAAATAAAAAAAGTAGAGGAAGCAGGGGCGGATCCAGGTCATTTTCCTAGAGGGGGTAATTTGACCAACAAAAAAAATCCATTTTTTTTCTTCAGATAAACCACTGTTTTATTTGATTATTTAGAATGTTTATAGAAAAGTTTGCTAATAAATATATTGAATTTATCTGCATATAAATATTTTGAAAAATCAAATGTTAAAAATAAATATATAATCTGTAATAAGGGACAGGTTTATATCATTGAGGGCCTTAAGCATAAAAATATATTTGGTGCCATAATCACTCCTAATTATCAAAAAAAAATTCCCACGATACCCCATATCAAGCTTGCTAAAATCATGGTATACAGGCTGCAGTCTTAGATTTTTCTAAATTGATCATGAGTATTGATCCCTAAAAATTGTTAATTTGCAAAAACAATTGGATCCAGCATAATTATTTTTGAAAATATTCCAATTTTGGTTAAGGTGCTCATGTTACCCTAAACTACCCTATATTCTTTTTTATTTTAAACAAAAATGCAAAATTGGCGTTTCTAGTTTTAATAATCTTTTGGACATTTATGATACAATTTCTATGGATTTGCATCATAGGTAAGCAATTTATTCGTTTTGGTTCTATATTGGATCTTAACCAAGTTTCAAGTCTTTTTAAAACCGAGAAACTCCATTCTCCCTAAACAAAACTAACAGGAAGGATGCAAAGCAACTGCAAAATACATTTAATTAAAGGGAAGACATTACCATCACATTGCTTGCATGCTTCCAGCTCACATTTAGGTAAGTCTTGTTGCTTTTTGATTGCGTCTTTCAATTTTAGCTCCCAAAATTCAAATTCTTGAAAACTTTCGTTCATTGGACATTCTAATCAATAGTGTTTATGTTGGGCAGCCCTTTCATAAAACTCAGTATATTAGTTATGGATACTGTTAACTCTGTTTTTGTTTTAATTGATAAATTTCTAGATAAATAAACATTGACTTTATAGTAAGTTATCATTGGTATTGAGGTTTGCGCAATTAGTTTGTTTTTCTGTAATTCTTTGAATCTTGATTTTTAAACCTATGTCTTCTAGTAACCGTTTCTGTCATAAATATAGCATTAAAGTTTATTTTGTCGTCTTTTATTTAATATCTTTATGGTATATTAAAGGATAGTTTTGGCATATTCCTTTTACAATAAGTTTTTTTGGAGGGCCTTACTTAAAGAGACTGTGTTATTTAACACATTGGCTATGGAAAAAAGTGTTATTACCAATAAGAGCTCAGGTATTGCATTTTTTAGTAATGCGGTCTTCGTTGAAGAATCTCGTTCATTCCACTGAGATATCAAATCAAGTGTTTTTACTATATTTTTTAAACAAAATCTAAAACATAATACAGAATCATACCGTTCGACCCATCTCGTTTCGCATAAGCTTGTAAGCATTCCCTTACTTATTTATTTAAGAACGTTACTTCGCATCGGCAAAGTTTTAACAAGTATTATTACTTATTTCATTGTACCAATTGTATTTCTTGCAGCTTGTACAGACAAATATTTAGAAAATTTTCAAGTTTAAAGCATGGTTGTAACATGGATTCTTTATTGCGTTTGGTAGGATCTTTTGCAATTTCGTGACTGCTCCATTGTTTTTATCTAACACAAGGAAGCATCCACCAGCACCTATATCTAACACAATCCTTTAAATTGAAACCAAATTTTGTCAATGTGTTTGCAACTGTTGTTGCTAGTGATTCTCCAGTTAATACTGGTACATAAGTAAAATCACAATAATTTTCAGTTTGGAAGTTTACAAAACCAATAAAATCTTAGTAATTAGTGATGGCGAAGATTGCCATCACTAATTACTGAAGGGTTTTGATTTATTTCAAAGATCTGCTCATTATTGTCAAAGATTAGCTGCTAAAGCCATACCACCAAGCAAACGAGCCAAAGAAACAGCATTTGCTCTTTACAATTAGCTATTTCTAAGGAAAATCCATGAGTCCTTAAAAATTGTAGGAGGGGATTCTACAATCTCCATGACAGGTTTAGGAAAAGATGGAAGCTTGCTATCAAATCTGGAATAATTCGTTAGAAGGAAATTATTTTTTATCCATTTGTATGTTGCATTGTAATGAATTACTATTGAGGCATAAAATTGTTGAACTGGATGGTCCAACTAAATCAAAGGATGGTTTTACTGGCCCTATTGGTAAGGTTCTATCTAAAGTTAATGACATAAAAAGACTTGAAAATTTTTGACCTATAGAACAGCTGGAACCATTGATTGAAATTCCGGAAAAATTTCTCAAAACAATGTCAACAGATACAGCTCTCTGTTATAAAATGGTGTAATGTTTGTCCACAGGCAAAATGTACATCTTTCTTATTCAAAGTCAGGAATTATTTGCCACAGCAGATGGCTTACCACAGAAAAAGCTATCATTTTCCTCTATATGAGTGATCACATGTTTACTAGTAACGTTCTTCGAAAGTTACTTCCAATATCAAAGGGGTAGATCAAGTATATTTGTGGTATGAAATCAAAGTGAAACACAATATTGTAGATGGCCCAGGTCACATAGTAACAATATTGCGACTGCTGAAAAGACAAGATAATTTATTTCAAAATAAAACAACACATGGTGCTTATTTTGCCCACTTAGAATCCCTGATGTTCAAATGATTATCAAACCAGATGAAAAATCGAAAACATTTGCCATTAATACAATTTAAGATATAAGGAAAACTTTGGAGTTTGGAAACATAGCTGCAAGGTCACTTAAAAGATTATACTCAATACAGAAGCTTTATCTATCAAAGAATTAATTTATTAGGAGAAAAAAAAATATCGCAATCTTGTGAAAGAGCTGTAAAAAAAAAAAAGGATATTAAAGCTGCAATTTTTGATTTTGGTTTTGAAAAGAGAGACGATTTTGTGAGAGCAAGATGGAATAATAGAAAAACTTTACCCGAGCATAATTCAAAAAAAGATTTTAGTAGCCTTTTTTTTAAGAAAATTGAAAGCAAAAAATTATTTATACACAAAGCATTTTAAATAACAAATAAACTTTTTTTCTAAAGTATATCATTTCCGATAAAACTAAAAATGTTAAATTTGAATGTTTAAATTAACAACGATTTGCTTTTTTATGATTTTAAGCTAAAAATAAAAAGCAGAGAAAACTGCCAAATTGATAACTTTTGAGGAAAACGTTTTTCAAATGCCCTCGCTCCGCTGAGATTTTTTTTAAAAAAAAGGTTATTTACGTTTCATAATATATGGTAATATATATAAAAAATCTACTTAGTTTCAGATTTCAAAAGTATGATTCACCCTTGATTATTGATTAAAATTAACTATTTTACCTTCCCAAAAAACCCAATTCCGCATGGGTAAGAATTGTTTTTTTTCAATTTTTTCCCCCAGGTTATTGTTCACATATAGTGGCATTATAAAAAAGATCTGCCGAATTAAAAATCAAAATTTTTAAAAGTACGTTGTAGCCTACTGCACATGCCTTTATAAATATTTCTTAAAAATATATGCTATGTTTGCAAATATTTAAAACTATTATCCATTTAGTCCAAGATAATTTACTTAACATAAATATGAATTAACTTCTAAATGCAGACATTAAAATAAACACCTACTAAAAAATTATGAAAACAAATAATGAAACCAAAATTTTCTTAATTCTAAAGAATTCTTTTCACATTTAATTTGTTGAAAAAAACAAGGTAGTTAAAACTTCCTGGTTGCAAAGTAATTACAACTATAATAAAATTAATTATATATAATAAAATTAATTATAATAATTCTATAATAAAATTAATTATAATAATTCCCAGCTTCCCGTGAATTATTTTTCCAATAATTTTAATTTTTTGATATTTAAACTTTTTCAAAATTAAACAAAATCCTCTCGATAAATTAAAAGGGGACCTTCGAAGAAAAGTATTAGACGTTATCTAAAGTTTTTTTAAAGAAAAGTATTAAAGTGTTTACATGTTTATATATAAAATAATAATAATAATAATAATACTTGCCTTTAATGAAACTTTTGTGTGTTTGCAAATCATTTGAAAGGGTTGTGCATTCAATTGTGTTCATACAATCTTTGTCACTACTACATGGTACTTTTGTCATTAAACCATTTTGACTTGAGTAGCACGACTCTCTCTTAAAAGTATGAAACAATGAGAAAGAATTTATAAAAAGAATTGTATTCTACTTATCTCAACTATCTTATGGTAAAAATTGAATATTTAGGAAAAGAAAAACAAACATTAAAAGAAAAAGTTTACGTATATCAACTTGCGCGTAGGTATAAGAGTAATTTGAGATAATTTTATGTCTAAATTGTTTTTCTCCGAGATAAGATTTTTCAGAATTTTTCTATCGACATATTTGACATAAATATCTGACATAATATCTGACATAAATATCTGACATATCTGACATAAATTTATGACGTATTTGCTGTTTCATATTCTTAAAGAAAAAATTAATCATATAAATGAAAAAATGTTACAAATAAAAAATGTTACAAAAATGTTACAAATAAAAAATGCTAAAATTTATTTTAACTGCAATCAATGTTTCATTATTTAAGACGCAATACTAAGTAGGAAACATGTCGAAAAATATGTCTTGGACATAAAATAATTTATATAAATTTATGTCAAAATATGTTGATAGAAAATAAGTCAGACATATTATATGTAAGCTAAATCTATGTCTTTGATATAATTGAAGAATGATAATCCTAGATATTGCTAAGGTTTAACCCTTAAAAGTCGGAGGGTAAAAAACGCTAGTACTTATTGAAATCTACAAATGATATATACTAATTAGTGTCCAGTAATATATAATACAATTTTTTTCAATAAATTAGGTTTATCGTTGCAATTGAAAACCATATGTCGCCTTGACCGAATGCAAATGGAAAAAACGTTATGCCAACGCCAAACAATCTTTTAAACATAAAAGGTATTCAAAAGAGATACTGTTGTCAAAATATATTTGGCAACTAAAGCTAAAACTATGAATTTTTAAATTAAATTGGTCTATTGTTAAAATTATGCATGCCTATAATAACGTTTCCAAAAAATTCATGCTATGTTTGCAAGTGTTATATCTGAAAAATAAACAAATTCGACTTACGCCTCTGAGTGTGAGGTCTGACTGATAAATTGCTCCAATGAATTTGGATATGCTGCTCCTTGAAGAGGCAATATGTTTATTCCTTTTTATATTTTCTCTTGTTTCTCAATTTTCAGTAACAAATACATTTTAATTACCACCATAAACTATAAATAACCTAGACAATGACTGTCAACAGTGAGTCAGTGGGTTCAAAGCCCCAACTATTTTGCACTTTAGGAATTTAAGCACAAAAGTTTAGATCAGTAAGATATAGGCTCTTTTACTTTGTCAACTTTTTAACACAATTTCATATAAATATATATTCTTTTTTTACTTTAAGTCCAAAAATTTATATTGTTTGCATTAATTTAATTTAAAATATAATCTTCTTGTAAGTTATATATTTAAATCAATTACAAATTATTATAAGTAAATATACCTTGCGAACTTTCATAGAACCTACTGGAACCTTTTAATTACACTAACTTGTCCACTAACTTCCAATTTAACTCAAATAGATTGATTAAAGGATAAATGAAATCAGTATTTCATATGAATGATTTACACTCTGATCATGTCAGCATACTAACTTAAGAAGATATCTATTAAAACTGTAGGATATCTTTTTTTTTTAAACATCTTTGTTTCCAACAAGGCTACAAGCAACCACTATTAGGGTTGAAAGTTCTTGAAGGGAAAAGATAAGGATTGTAGAGCAAGATAACGATTGACAGACGATGTAAAAGATTGCAAATTATATGAATTAGGTAAGCAAGATGAAGGAAGCGAATTCCGAAGAACTGATGTTTGAGGAAAAAACTAGACAAATAAGAGTTTTTGAAGCACTTAGAAACAGTCGCAGAAAAAAGATGGACTTATTTGAATGACGAATAAAACGAGAATGTGCCCATTATAGTAATTTTAGAAAAGAGAAAGAGAAGTAATATTACAACAATGTGATAACGGTTGAAAGTTGGCTGCAAGAGTAGATCTAACTAGATTTACAAAACGTTTTTGCACTTTGTCTTAAAAAGAAAGGGCATCATTAGAAGATCCGTCCCAGATATGGCAACAGTATTCAATACAAAGCCGGATTTGAGATTTATAGAGATAGAGATCAGAATCCGGAGTAAGAGGGTGCCAAGCTCGATAAAGAGATGCAACCTAAGCAGATGCTTATTTTGCAACAGATTTGATATATAGTTTCCAAGAAAGATTGGAAATAAGAGTTAATTTTAGAAGATGAAGGGTATATGACTCATTGAGTGCATTACCGTTCATAAATATAGGAAGATTCTTATTTTATTTTAGAATTATTGCAATAACGATTGGCTGAAAAAATTCAGTTTCATCTGAATTAAAGTTTACCAGCCACTGTGAGCCCCATGTAGAAGTGAAATCTTTTTCAAGCTTAAATGCCCCGTCCAAGCAATTATAGAGTGTTGGCTTCTTATTATGACAAAAATAAATGGCAGTATCATCAGCAAGCAATGCCACCTTAAATGGGAGAATATCCGGAAGATCATTAATTTAAATTAAAAAAAGTATAAAGCCAAGGATAAAGCCTTTAGGAACCCCTAAAATTACAGGATTTGAGAAAGAGTTCTTTTATACTACGATTGGTAAGAAAGGATTCAATTATCTAAAAGATAATACCTGATACATTGTAAGAAGAAAACTTATAGAGAAGACCAGCTTGCCAAACTTTATCAAAAGCTTTAGAAGTGCCAAGAACGATGACCTAACCCTCTCAACCTTTGTCTAATGCACAATAAATTCTATCTGTTATACCTGTTAGCAAATCAGCAGTAGAACGAAAAGACCGAAATCCATATTGACGATCAGAAAGTTAGTTATTAGATTCAAGATGAAAGATTAAGTGCTCTGTAACAAGACCGTTAGGTCTTCTTGGGGCACTTGAATATATATATATTGAAGTATATATATATATTAAAGTATATATATATATTGAAGTATATATATATATTGAAGTATATGTATATATATATATATATATATATATATATATATATATATATATATATATATATATATATATATATATATATATATATATATATATATATATATATATATATATATATATATATGGGATTCGTAAAGGTGTTGTTTTCTTTTCCTTTTCGCTTTTTTTAAACATTTTGACTTTTGGTATAAAAGACCTATAAAGTTATATATATATACCATATATATATATAATAAAACAAGTTACATAACAAAATTAAATTCTGTATGAAAAAACAACAACAATCTACAACAATGTACAACAATGTACCACAATGGTTTTACAGCTTTTAAAAGTATTTTTATTTTTTAATAAAAAACTTCCAAAGAAATCAAAATTTAAATGTTTATAAATAAATGCATAACGGTTGCATTGTTGCATAAATGCAACGATAGTTGCTACTTTTTCTAAAATTTAAAACATTTTTAGAAAACTTAAATATAACTTCTTTAATATATTTATGTAAACAAATTATTTTTTCATTTTATCCTGTTGCTCGTTTGCGTTATAAATTCAGACTCATGGTAAGACTCCCTAACTCTACCCCGAAGTGCCGGTTTCAGCAATATTTTGGGACCATTTTCTAAATTTATAGATGTTTATTATTATTTTTTAATAATACCAAATAAAGAAAAATGTTTGTGGAAAAATTTGAGGCGCTATCGGTTACGGTAATGTGATGTATAATTACGCATGTTTGTCACACAAATACAAGCGTTATTTGGTAGTTTCATTTTATGATTTCCTTCATAAAAAAATAAAATCTTAGGATGTTAGTTGATCCAATAAATATTACTTAACACATAGAAGTCTTGTCGTAAGTAAATTAAAAGTACCTTTTTATTGATAATCTTAACACAGTGTTTTTTTTCTAAATTACAACGGTATTTAAAAATTTCTGCATTGTTATTGACATCTTTTGAGCGTGCGGATTTAGAAGGGGCAACAGTCACAATAATAGTCAACAATGTGTAAAAAAAAATGTTTTTCATTTCCTTTTTTTTTCTTCTTTTGTTTTATCTAAATATAATCAATAAGAGATTTTTCAAAATAATTTTTATCTAGCCAAAAAAACATAACCATAAAACATATCATAAACAAAAACAAAGTTTTTTTTTTTTAATGCAATAAATATAAGCAACCAATATATAAAGCAAAGAGTTACGTGAAATTTATTGAATATTCAGCTCGAAACTCACTTAATTCGAAACTCGCGTTAAAACATTAATCGAAACTATTCGATATGCTTTAATGCACAAAAAAAAAGCACCATAAATTGCATCCTCAATAAAATGCAATAAACGCAAAGTACCCAATAAACATCTTAAATATTATTTATTAGACCATTTCATAAAAAAAATAGAATTTCAGTAAGGAAACTTCTCAGAAATTATAAAAAAAAAATTTCTGGTACTATTTTTATAATTTTAAAAGAGTCATAATAAACGAAACAATATTGTCTAATGTTATATATATATATATATATATATATATATATATATATATATATATATATATATATATATATATATATATATATATATATATATATATATATATATATATATATATATATATATATATATATATATATATATATATATATATATATTTATATATATATATATATATATATATATTTATATATACGTGGGTGCATATATGTAAATATTAAAGATGATTTCTTTATATTATCATGTATAATAATGTATATTTTAAAGTGCTCAATAGATAAACTAGAGCTATATAGTATATATATTACTGTTACCCGCAGTATCAGGAATTAGCTAAATGCTAATATTTATAATATTATATTGCGACTTAAAGTTTCATGTGTTACCACAATCATCAGGCAAGTTGTATTGTGATTTATTGTCATCCGGCTAATTGCCATACTGACGTCTCGTAAAAAAATAAAAATTACAAAGAGTTCGTAAATATATACCCCTATTACAAAGATATCTTATAGACCCATTACAATAAAACCACCATAAAAAACAAAAAACAAAAATAAAAACACGTAAAAAATAAAATCAAAAGAGAATAAAAAGAAAATCTGCTTTGAAAAGGAAAAAGGTGAAACTGTTTAGTCACGTGTTTTTCTTATCCCAAAAAAAAAAAAAAAAAAAAAAATTATTTCTTTAATTTTTTTTCTAGTATTTAGACTATCATTTTTTCTCTGTTATTACTTCATATATGAAAACTTTTTTTAATTTTATATAAAATTACATTCTTTTTATCTTCTAATATACATATTTTAGTATAAAATAGAGATTCTTTATATAAAAAGTTTCTAAAAGTATCAAAAATATTATTTAAAAGTAGTTGCATATATATCTGCAACCAAACTTAAGCTTCCGTTGCAAAAATTATTTTTTATTTCCTCCTTGTGTATTTCTTGTTTATTTTGTTTAATTGTTATTAGCAACTCGCTTTTTAAAACTTTTTCAATTTTTGTGTTTAATTTTTTTAAAAGATGTTTGTTTGTAAAAATCTTATTTTCAAAGTGGCTCTTCATTCTATTATAAAAAACTTCTGTTAATAAAATATCCAATAAAATATTTCCAAACTTTCTTTGCTTGGCTCTTTTTTCATAGCCGAATAATAAAAATTTTAAATTGTTAATATGAGGGTATTCTATAGGGTAGAGTTGATCTAAAATGTCTAAAACATAAAAAATTAAAGGTTGCACTTTCTCACATTCATAGATCATGTGAGCAGTCGTTTCAACTTTTGTTTTGCATTGTGGGCATAGCTGATCTTTTCTTACTTTTATATCAAACATCTTTTCGTTTGTTGGTAATATAAAATGCGCTGCTTTGTAGCGAATTTCGCTCGCTTTATTAATAATGTTTCTTTTAGAAAGTTTAATGAAGAAATGTTTCCAATCATTATCATTTAAACTGTCCATGCTATCAAACAAGGACTTCCAATTACTATACTTATATATTTAATTTTTTTGATAGGTTTGTTTAATAAATTGTATAACGTTAAAACAGTAAGGTTTTTCCATTCATATTTTGGTTTTCTTTTAGCTATATATAGTGGGGCTTTTTTATGATCGTATTTTTGAGATTGCGTTATAATTTTTTGTCTCCATTCCCTCGGGAGGGCTTCAATAATTTCATCTAAATTGTTTTCGCTCAAATTTACACTTATAGAATTCAAAAACCCTGTTGAAATGTTTTTGTAATATCGGCTACAAGCACGAGATCATTTTTTAAATGAATTTTATCTGTTAAGTTAAAAACTGTTGAGTTAAAAACGTTTTTGGTAACTTTTTGATCATTTTGTTAAAAAAAAGAGGTTCATTTAATATATCTTCAATTTCTGTGACTGGTAAACCGTGTTTTTCTTTTAAATTTGTGCCAATTAGTTAATAGCTGACCATAAAAAGGTGGAAGTTTATTAATTTGAGTAGGGTTAGTTTTAAAAACGTAAATATTTTGGTTGGCGTTTCTATATGAGTTTAAAATATTTATCATTGCACCTTTCCATGGTTTGTCAATGTTTTCGTTATGAACTTTGCTTACCCATTGTAATTGAATAGCTTTAAGTTTATTTGTTAGGTTATTTAAACCTGCCCCACCGTTTTTTATTTTTTGTTGGGTTTTTGTTTTGCTGAGTCGACAGACTCTACTACCCCAAAAAAAGTTGTTTATCTTTGTTTCTAATTTGTTTAAATAATGTTTGTTCGGTAGGGGAATAATAAAGGCTAGGTGTAGTATTTGCGGGATTATCAATGAGTTTACTATAATTTTTTTGCCTTTTAAAGAAAGTTTAAATTTTTCCAACTTTCGGAGAGAGTTCTCTATTTTATCGAAACGTTCCTTCCAGTGGGTTTCATACGAAAATTGTTACTAGAAAAATTTCTCTTAGACTTTTGAAAGAGTTCTCATCCCAATTAAAGTTTAATTATTTCTTTTTATCTTTAAAAATGTTTTTCCCGAGCCATATACCTTGGCATTTTGCTATATTATTTTGGCTCCGGTGGCTTTTTTATTTAATTTCAGAGCTCTACCTACTTCCTCAATCGAGTCCTCTCCAGTTAGATAAAAATTAGTGTCATCAGCGTATTGCTGTATTTTTGTTTCTTTTCCTTCAACAATAATACCTTTGATTTTTTCACATTGTCTAACAAAAGTTGAAAACATTTCCGCTTGAATGATATATAATATCATTGACAAAGGACAACCTTGTCTTACTCCTCTTAAAATATTTATTTAAGCATCCGTTAATTTTAATTTTTTGCAAAAATTTTCTTATAGATTGTTTAGATAAAAAATATAAAACTTTTTCCGAAACCAAAATGTTTCAAACTTTAAAACAAAAAGTTCCTATCTACCCTGTCAAAAGCTTTTACCTGATCTATAGAAAGAATGCAAGCATCTAAATCGCTTATTTTAGCAATACTTATAATATCTCTGGTGTAACTAAGATTATAATTTATAGTTCTGTTTTTGATACATGCTGTTTGGTTGCTATGTATTATGTTTGGTAATATGTTTTTGAGTCTATTTGCTAAACATTTTGTTAGAATTTTGTAATCAACATTTGTGAGTGATAAAGGTCTCCAATTTCCTATATCATTTTTGTTACCTTTTTTAAAAATACATGTAATTATGGCTTCTTTTTGTGAATTTATCATTTCTCCAGTAGACAAAACATTATTTAAAGTATCAGTTAAATCTTTTTTGATTATTTCGAAAAAGTTTTTATAGAATTCAATGGTAAGCCCATCTGAGCCAGGAGATTTGTTATTCTTCATTTGTCCTAAAGCTTGTTTTATTTCGCATTCAGAAATTTCTTTTTCTAGAACTTTATTTTCATCCTCAGTCACTTTCTGAACTTTAGCAAAAACAAAAACTCTTGAGAAGGTTTGTCATTTTTTTTCTTTTTGTAAAGATTTTTATAAAAATTTTCAAATTCAGTCAGAATTTCTTTTTGCTCTGTTTTGATTTCCCCGTCACTACCATTTATTTCTGTGACATACTGTTTCGCGAGCTTTTGTTTTTCTAGTCCGAAAAAAAATTTTGAACATTTTTCGCCTTCTAATCTCCATTGAATTTTCGCTCTTATCGCCGCCCCTTCTACTTTTTCTTGTTCAATATGTTCAATTTTAATTTTTACATTATTATATAATTTTTTCAAGTTGTTATTTGCATTTTTTTAGATGCATTTTTTTAGATGTATTTTTTTAGATGCATTTTTAAGAATTTTTAAAAGTTTATATTCTCTTTTGTTCTTTTTTTGTTTTTCTTTTTTGCTAAACTTTTTCGAAATTTCTCTTATTTTTTCTTTCCCGGTTTCCCACCAGCCTTCAATATTTTTAAAACTATTTTTTTGCTGTGCCCAATCGTTCCAGCTCGCTTCTATAAGATTTTTATACTCTTCATTTTCTAAATGTTTGTTGTTTAATATCCATGTTTTTGATTTAATATTTATTTTTATTTTTAGAATCACTGCTTGCGCGTTATATTGATCAGTTAAAATAGTTGGCTCAAAAAATGTTCTAATATATTGCCTAGCTTTTTTGCTAATATAAAAGCGGTCTAGTCTCGAATGAGACACACCGTTAGTGGCAGCAAAAGTTTATAATATATATATATATATATATATATATATATATATATATATATATATATATATATATATATATATATATATATATATATATATATATATATATATATATATATATATTTATATATATATATATATATATATATATATATATATATATATATATATATATATATATATATATATATATATATATATATATATATATATATATATATATATATATATATATATATATATATATAAGTTTAAATATTTTTGTATAATAGCTTTAAAGCTATATATATCAAAGTATTCGCGGTACTTTAACAAAACCTACAAATCGGATAAATCGGAAATTATTTCAGTAAAAATATTTTCTGATTTATCAGCAGAAAAGACCTAAAAAAAAGATATATACACATATATGGTATTAGTAAAGGTGTTGTTTTCTTTTCCTTTTCGCTTTTTATATATATGGTATATATATACATATATATATATATATATATATATATATATATATATATATATATATATATATATATATATATATATATATATATATATATATATATATATATATAATTTAATATGAAATTACATTCTAAAATTACGAATACCATATATAATATATACCATATATATAAGGTATTCGTAAAAGTGTTGTTTTCTTTTCCTTTTCGCTTTTTTCAAACATATTGACTTTTGGTATAAAAGACCTATAAACTTGATGAAAATTGGAGCAATATATTTTAAAAATAAAAATATACACTATAATTATATACACTCATAATTTTTTTAGAGACTTCAAATCTTTCTTTGGTTTTGTATTTCTTCAATAATATTTACATCTTCTAAGACGTATTTAATTTTATTATAACAGACAAAATCTATATTTAAATTATGATCAGAATCTGAACTTTACTTGATACCGTATCGACTGGCTTACCAGCTACAGATATTTTGTAAAAAGTTTACACAAGCCAAATAGCATGATTAATGAAAAATTGGTTTTCAATTTCAAAATATAATTTTGAAGTTGAAAACCAATATTGGTTTTCAAAATTTATTGATTCATTTATACCAATGTATTAGCGATTAGGGTTATGGTTTGAAATACGGCAATATAATTTCTATTGTTCAACACTATTTGAAAAACACAAAATAAGAGCATTTATTCAATGACAGCTATGCGGTAGTAGCTACTTATCTTGATTTTCTAGACAAAAATTTTGAATTTCTAGAAGATAACCCAACGCGTTGTTTTATTAATTCGAGCAAAAAGGTTTATAATGTTATATAATGTTATATAAATGTTAACACAACAGATGCAACAAGTTAGTTTGTTTTTGCAAGATGCCATTTATCTAACAACATAAACTCTATCAAACCGCTTACTAAATAATGCGGGTTATGAAAATGTACCGAGACATGAAAATATTATTTTCATTACACAATTAACGGATAAACTTTTCATAAAACCATGTACAAATCTGTTAGTGGATCAAATTCATAAAATAGAATTGGAACTCGAAAAGTATGATGGACATTTAATGATAGTTAATGAGAAAAACTAATTAAGTATAAAAGAAAATGGGTGTATGGCTTTTTATCAAACTGAAGGTGACACCTATAAATTTATATTGCTAGCTTGTAAAATGATTTTAAGCTTAAGAGCAACTTCAGTAGCATCCTAAAGTTTATATAGTGTAGCAGGTATTATACAAGATGAACAAAGAAACCAGTAACACCCTATGCTTTTAAATATGCTTAATTTTATAATGTTTAATATTATGCAGAAATATTAGTTTCAACTTTCAAATAGAGATTTACCGGAATTCCGTTCCGGTTGGAATTCTGGTCGGATTTTGATTAATTTTTTAGGTTATTCCGGTTCCGGCCAGAGATACAATATTTCCGGCCGGAATGCCGGAATTTATTTTATACTTTATTTATGTAAGACATGTGACACAAACTGTATCAATTAATTCAAAAAATCATTGTTCTACGGGGCATTGAAGATACAAAATTCTTAACAAATACAATATAATTTTAAGTGAATCTACAGCCTAGAAAGAAATTGCTAAAATGGCTCCCCTATATAAGAAATTGCTACTACATTGACGTCAATGTAGTAGCAATATCTTACTAGACTGTAGATTTAATTAAAATTATATTGTATTTGTATTGTATTATATTGTAAAAAAATGGCTCCCCTATGTCAAATCATCAGTCATGACTGATGATTTGGCATAGGGGAGCAATTTTTTTATTTTAATTAAAATTTCTAATGTTCAAATATTTCCACTAACGAGACCCCAACAAGTGAAAAAATAGAATTATATTAGAACGCTAGACTGTAGATTTACTTAAAATTATGTTGTATTTGTTAAGAATTTCGTATTTTTTATCCATAGCTCTTCAATGCCCCGTCAGGGTTATATAAGAAATTGTTACCACATTGACGTCAATGTAGTAGCAATTTCTTATAGAAGCAGCCTATAAGATAGTCAATGTAGCAACACTCCTTTTTTAGCAGCATGCTATAAGAAAATGGATGTAGCAGCACTCCCTTGTAGAAGCAAGTTATAAAATTGTCGATGTATGTACTAAAGTCAATAAATATTTTTTATGTTTATATTAAAACCACTGCCCGCGGGAAAAAATGCCCGCAGAGATTTTTTTAAATGCCCGTTAATTAATTTGGATATTTAGAAGACAACCATCTTGGTAATGTGATACTTTTATCTACTTCAAAAATCAATCTAGACATCAAAAAACTAGTTTCAGACGGTCAAATTCATTACTCTTAATAACTATATTGCTTTGATACAAATGATTATAATAGTTATTAGTCACCTATATTTTTGTAGAAATAAATTCTTTTTTGCCAGCAAAATTGTTTTTTAACTTTTTTTTGCCTGTACCCTAAAAAGTCTGGCTACCCCTGACTTATGGCAGGTCTCCACACGAAAGCCGCAACAAGCAATAAAATAAAACTATTTTTAACCGCATATCTGGAGCTTTGCCTAATTTTACTTGCAGTAATCACTTATGTAAAGGTTTCTAAAAGTTTGCTTCAATTTCTTCCCCTCCACCGCATTTTGCTATACGCTTTTTGAATACTCTCCATTTCCCTAAAAGTCTCTACGCTTTTAACCTACCTACACAACATTTTATGATATTTTTTTTAATTTAATGTTTTTTTACCTTTATAATTGACTCCCTGCTCCTATTCATATCCACTATTTGCAGACCCGCCGGGTGAGGTTTACAAATGAAGGGATCTTCTCCATCCGAACGTACTTTACTTTATGGACAATCCCATATTAAAATGCCTAAAATATGCTCACACCTATTTTCAAATTATTTGTAATGGAACCAAATAGTTTACTAAATTTGTATATATGATAATATAAATAGTAAACCTCCATTTCTGCTAAGCCAAAGACAATAAATAACCGAAATTCAGAAGAAAACCGAAGTCGGAACTTGATAAATATAAAAATATATAAACACTAGCATAAAGACAGGTTGCGGAGGCTGTGTTCCCCCACCTTGTAAAAAACTTATATATATAGTATATATATAGTATATATATATATATATATATATATATATATATATATATATATATATATATATATATATATATATATATATATATATATATATATATATATATATATATATATATATATATATATATATATATATATATAAATATATATATATATATATATATATATATATATATATATATATATATATATATATATATATATATATATATATGTATATATATATATATATGTATATGTATATATATATATATATATATATATATATATATGTATATGTATGTATATATATATATATATATATATATATATATATATATATATATATATATATATATATATATATATATATATATATATATATATGTATATGTATGTATATATATATATATATATATATATATACATACATATATATATATATATATATATATATATATATATATATATATATATATATATATATATATATATATATGTATATATATATGTATATATATATATATATATATATATATATATATATATATATATATATATATATATATTTATATGTATATATATATATATATGTATATATATATATATATATATATATATATATATATATATATATATATATATATATATATATATATATATATATATATATATATATATGTATGTATATATATATGTATATATATATATATATATATATATATATATATATATATATATATATATATATATATATATATATACATATATATATCAGATATATATGTATAAGTTATTGAACAATCATTTGACAACATTATTTTTTTAAAACAATAAATAATAACGTTTTTTTTGTATAACAGTTTAATGAATGCTTTCTAGTCTTTTACCGTAAGCGCACATTCCGAAACGCACCTTCAGTAAGGAACTTGCAAGTATTCTTTCGAAATGATATGTTTCGAAAGTTTCTTTTCGTAAAGGGTTATTATGGAATTATTATATATTTTTCGGTATAATACGTTACGGAAGGTGAATTTGCGCTTGTAGAATTTTGTGAATATGCGCTATAGCAATTTGAAATACGGAAGATAAAAATGCGAAACTTTCGTATGTTTTTCTTTACTGCGAACAACCCTAGTCTATACCTAGTTAGGCTGTCGATGAATTGGACATGTTCTTCACGTTAAGTGCAATGTTATCTTTTACGTAGACCTGAACTACGTAAAAAAAAAAAACTTTAATGCGCGTAAAAAGTTTATTTTAAACAGCTAAAATGTTAAAAGAAAATAGCGTTCATCAATTAGTAACAAAAGTTTTGTAAAAGCTAATTGGTATTTTTTCTTTATACTTTTCTTTTAAAATAATTGCGATAAAAACACATTTAAAATTTAGGTATTAATAAAAAAGAAGCAGTTCTAAATAAGGTGTAAATTTCTTCCTGATAAGGTAGAAAATTATACCTTTAAGGTAGAAAATTGTATGACAAATCATTGTTTTTAATATAACTTTCTACCTTAAAAGGTACCTTACTAAGGGTATATCACATATCCTACCCTAAGGTAGAAATTTCAACCTTTTTTTTTAGTGTGTACTACCAAATCCATAACGTAATATTCCTCATCTATAGTATAAAACTTATGCACTGTATACGTTTTATATCGTGTATTATAACGTAATATTCCACATCTATAGTATACAAGCTGAATAAATCCTGTAGAAATTTTGTTAATTTTTTATATAATCCTATATAAAATTTGATAAATTAGCTGTGAAAGAGTTAATTTAGACATAAAAGATGTTTCAAATTTCTCAAATGAAATGAAAAAAATCGAGATGAATGCAATAAATTTAATTTATGAGTGCTTTCAATTGGGTAGTTGTCAAATTTATTTTGCACGTTTGTTTAGTGGGCAGATACCAGATGTTTTGAACCCATTTACACCGAACTATTGTATGTGATTCATATTAGTCAAGAGATTAAAGAGCAATCTTGGAAAAACACTTTTTGGTAGGGATGTATGAAATCTTCCTTCACCAATTTTCCATTCAGTAATTACTTTTCTCCATGCTAATTTTATGGGTTCATGAACTGCAAAGTCAAAAGGCTGTAATAAATGTGTACTATTAGGAGGTAAGAAGACCATCCTAATATCTTCACAAACATCCTAATAGCGTCACAAGTTTCAATAACATCAATAGATAAATGGCATGCTAAATTATCACCTATAAGAAGTTTTGTTGTGTTATCATCAAAATGTCTGAAGTAAGGTAATATTAATGTTTGCATCCAACTTTTAAAACAATAGCCATCAAGTCAACCAGAAATGAAATTGCATAAAAAGTCACATAAAATTGCAGCACGCTTTCTACAAATATTTTGACATGCTCGATAAGACAAAGATTTTTATGCCGCTCTAAAAATGATCTTACCCAATCATTAGCAGACAAATTTTCTTCAAAATACAGGCAGTCTCTTCCAGATTTGTTAAGAAAACTTTGTACAAATAATTTGAGGTCTATTTTATCAAATACATACCCAAAATCACTAAAAGTTGCAATGTATTGTGCAATTGACATCTCCTCGTCTGATAGCAAAGAACTCTTTTGACCAACCACACTACCTTTGCATAAACCACTAATAAGACACCTTAAAGTTCTGTGTGGTATGTTTAACAGCTTTGCCACAAGTTTCTAAAGTTCCACCGTTAACAAGTTCAATAACTCTTTTAAGTTCACTTTCTAAGTAAGTTTTTGACTGTTTTTGAGTTGATTTTAAATAGTTTCTCACCATTTCCACAAATCTGTAATAAAAAAGTAAAAAATATGAGCTAAAAACTCAAATTATTTGTATCTTTAAACATTTATTTTATATTCAAAAATATTATAAGAATAAAAACCATTAAATTCAAAAGGTGCTCCTTTACCTAGGTACGTGGAAATATCCGTTTTTCGGAACCGAATATTAAAGAATTAGAACACAGTAATGACGGGACTGAAACGTCGATTATGGCCGAACCAAATTTGAAGACAACATCTGAATCAGCACTTTATTAAAAATTGGAAGCTGCCATTACGAACGTTAGTCGAATTGAGAGTCCAGAAGATGTGTTATATGACGTTAAAAATATTACAAAAGAAATGAATATTTTTGATGCAACGAAAAAGCGTACAAATAATTTAGACAAATTATATAATACTCTTTTAACTATCCCGCCAACTTCAATCGATTCAGAAAGAGCTGTTCTGCGGCAGGTTTTTTTATTACGAAAATTCGGTCATTGTTAAGCTATTGACAGTTTATGTTTTTTAAAAAATTATTTTAAAAGTTAATATATATATAAAATACAATGTTATTGAAGTTTATATTTGTTTTATTTTGAGAGTCTTAGTTTCTAAGAATTATTTTGTCTTTATTTTCTTGTTAAAAGTTATAGTATTTAAACCCCTTTTTTTTGTATTTGTTTGAACGGTACATAGACTCTCTCGTCGAACCCTTATTCCGACACTGTCCTTAAGGTCCGAAAATATCAAAAAAAACAACGACTTCTTCACTTAAAAGAGAACTTGCCTACCTTATAATTTCTCAGTCGTTGTTTGCACACTCCGCTGCATGTCCTTTCTAAAATCAGTCGATGTATGTGCGCACTGCTGCGCAAATCCCTATATACCCCATTTTGCCTATTTCCTAGAAATACGAGATTACGGATGCAAAAGACGCTCAACGTCGAAATATAGGTGTTTGACAAGAATGCGTTCCTGTTTGAACCTACACATCAACTACCGCTATTTATAAACTTACTAAAATTTCAAAATTTTAGTAAGTGTATAAATTTATCTAATATCAAAACTAATTACTTCCTTATTGCTTATTATTAAGAACTAATAATAATTAGAATTTAATAACTACAGCAATTACTACACAAAAATTGATTTTTCACTACTATTTTATTGCACAGTCTAAAAAAAAATACGAATGACCTTCAATCGATAATATTGAAATTTAAAACCATACAGTGCTGCAATTATCTTTCTTAAATTTTTTTTATACTATTATAATCACAACATTTAGTTGAACAAAAGCGATAAAAAACAAACAATAGAAAAATATATTTTGATGTTCAAAGTTTGTTGATAGAAAAATAAAATACACACTACAATTTTACTGCACACGACTGTATATTGAAAGCATTGTGAATAGTTAGCAAAGCTGTTTTTAATTTTAAATCTGATTTTTATTTTTTCTGGATGGTTATATTTATATTTATTGAGAAAAACGCCTTATTGTCAAATAAATAATTTATTCCTTATTTAACTCAATTGTTTCTTTGATTTTGTTTGAATAATGTGATCCTTAATTTAATATAACTCGCACTGCACAAACTTAAACTTTTATTAAAAACTTTAATTGAATAATCTTTTTAATTGAATAGGTTCTTGTCAATTTTTCCCCATAAAGGAACAAAACAGAACATAAAAAGCTAAAGAAAAATTTCGATGTAAGCAAGCGACAAAAAACACTATAAAATCTTAATTGAATAGGTTCTTGTCAATATTTCCCCATAAAAGAACAAAACAGAACATAAAAAGCTAAAGAAAAATTTCGATGTAAGCTAGCGACAAAAAACACTATAAGGGCCTATAGCCAGATGTAAAACCAAAAACCTTTTTAGAGTTCTTTGTATTAAAAAAAATATAACTAATTTTATTTACATTAAAACATCGCACAATCAAATGCTTTTTGATGCTTTTAAGCTTCATTCAATGCAAAAAAATAATTTTTCTGGTATATTATAATATTGGTAGTCGGAAAAATGCGAACTGCGAACCGCGAACCGGAAAAAAGCGAACTTTTTTTGCAAACCATAGTTCTATTGGTTATTAATGATATAATATTTTTTTTATTTTCCGTTTACCGTTAAATTGTTTATTTTACTATATATTTGATGGACTTCAAGCAGAAAGATGAATTATGTTTAATTTAAAAGAAATACAATCTAATTTAAATAAAATTACACTATATTTAATTTAAATTAAAAAATTGACAAGCCAAAATATTTTTAAATATCATAACCGTTGTGTTCATTAAAATAAAATGTCTTGGTTCGCAAAAAAGTTCGCATTTTACCGACTACCTATAATATTCTGTTGATTTTTGATAAACAAAACATATTAATATAAAAACAAAAATAAATAACCCTTATACATCAAACCTCACAGTTTATAAATCTAAATGCGCAAAATTTTTACTCGTTTTAAGGTCGCCAAAAAAGTTTGTTTTAAGGTTATAAAAGTAGTTGTAATTAATTTTAAAAAAGCGAAATCAGGTTTTAAAAACAAATTTTAATCTATTTAATACTAAAGTTAGATGTTAATAACTGTAATAGCAAGTATTAATCACTATATTTACAAATGATGGACACTATAAAAGTTTTTAATAAGGTTTAGATTCGCCTCAAAATAAACTGTTTTCTTGTTCGGCTATCTAAAATTAAAAAAAAAAAAATTTTAGAGATAAACGTTTTTAATCCATTAGTTAGAATTTCAATTCTGAAATGAACCTTAAATTTTATATCTACTCTTAGGTGCTTAATACATGGGAGGAGACCTTTTTTTAATTTTCTATAATATTTCCCACCCTCCCCAAACTTTGTCACTAATAAGAATAAAAACTTTCAGTGTAATCAGGCTTTAAAAATTGTCGAACATTTAAAAATCTTAAATTTCGATTTGTCAAAAATTAGGTTTTCGTTTATTTCTCACCATAGTATAAAACTTATATAAGCATATAAGTTACTATGGTTATAAGCATATAAGTTACTATGATTATAAGCATATAAGTATATATATATATATATATATATATATATATATATATATATATATATATATATATATATATATATATAATATATATATATATATATATATATATATATATATATATTATATATATATATATATATATATATATATATATATATATATATATATATATATATATATATATATATATATATATATACTATGGTTTAACAGCTGTTTTATCATAATTTCAAACTCTATTGAAATTATGATAAAACAGCTGTTAAAAAATGCCCATTTGAGCGCAAGCCACACTAGAATTAAAATGTTTTTTTCGTGTTTTTTAAAAAATTCCCACCCACTATTTTAATAATCCGTTTATTAGATCTGAACTAAAATTCCCACGTTCTCTTTTATTTCCAACCTCCCTAGTATTAGGCACGCAAGAATACCTATACAATGCAACTCACCATATCCGTCTAACTTGCCAGTTGAATAACTTCCTTTAAAATTAGACTCTTACCGTTTTCACCAATAAATATATCCAAAACCTGAACCAGTTTAATTCCCAATGATTTTCCTAGTAAACTGTTACTAAAGCATTCCTAGAAAATTACTTATGTACGCAATTATAATGTTAATGACTGTGTGACTTTTTACGAAAATTTTAAAAACTTGAAATTATTACTTTTACCTCAATACCTTGGTTTATTATATTAGATAACAGATTTGAAGTAGTTTCTTCCAATAGCTATAAAGATAAAATTAAAAAATTATTTATAAATTTGTTTTGGTATGAGTAATATACTTTATTGAAAAATAACGCAACCTCAAAATATAGAAAAGTAGCTCTTATTATAGCAAACTTAAAACGATAAGATTTGTTTTTGTAAGACAAGTTTGTTTCCTTAAGCAGCACTGAATTTTACAAATCATAGAGAAATGGTCCTTAGTTTTGTACCTGCCGGAAAAACGAAAAAACAACGAAATAGGTGTCGCTAAATAAAATAAAAACTGGAGAATTTGATTTAAAGACTGGAAGGTTTAAATTGATTTCATAAAAAATAAAAGAATTGATATGATTCTAAGAACACAAATAAAGAAGAAAGATAGGCTTAAGCAATTATGTAACGACAATGTTTTTTATATTTATTAGTTTTGACAACTATTGTTCAATTGTTATCATAGGCCATTATTGATTTAAAGATGAAAATGAACTTAAAATATACAAATGAACTTAAAGCATACAAATGAACTTAATAATGCCTCATGTCTGTTAATAAATTCAGTCATAACAAAGGGTTATTGTGGCCTTTACAATACACATAAAAAGAACCAGGGACACCACTACTAATACGTTACTAATACAACACCACTACGTTGTTAATACTTTTCAAGTATAATACGAGTTCAAGACAACAGAAAAATATTTTTCCCTTAAGTAGATAGGAGGGTTTTTGTTTCTCAAATGTTCTGCACCTTTGACTTTTGATAGCATTTTGATGCCATTAAGATACAACAAACAAATAACTTATAAAGGTGACTTGCTATTGTTATGAATTTATCGTTATGAATGATTCATATCTGCAATTTGGCGTCACTTGCTCCATGGTAATATTCACGTGGTATTTCATCTACCCAGCCCTAAAACTTTATTATATCCAGCATTATTTTGTGTTCGAAATAGCTAATTTCCAGTTATTATAAATAACTTTTTTGTAAAACATTCTTATTTGATATAAGTATAAACTTATATGTTTATACTTATATCAAATAAGAATGCTTTGCAAAAAAATGCAATTAATCAAAAAACTCAAAAATCCCCCCCCCCCCCCTGATTCCTGCCTCAAACATAAGAACAACAAGTACTAGATGAAGTTTTCGTATTTTAGAACCAATAAAAACTTCAAATTTAAATCTCCGCAAACATGCAGCATATTTATCAGATATCATTCCTTCGATTATGGCTCTAAAATAACTTTTTCATCAAGCATTACTTAGCAAGGCATTTTTAAATATAATCACTCTAGTTGAACAATTAAATGAGTCAGTAGACAAAAAGCTGGATACATTTTTACATGATAAGATTTATGTTTTTCTACTTTTTTTGACTATATATAAATAACATATTAAAAGGTAGATGAGAATAAAGTAAAAAGTTGGCTGAATGAGTGGATGCAAGAAATTTAATAACATAATTTAGTACTTGAGTTAGGGTGTACCAAAAAAAATATTTTTGATAAATAATTGCTGGCACCCCCCTTAATGTTCAATTTAACCTTTTCGTACACCATGTATACAAACGTACACAATTCATTTTGTTCATTTTTCACTATAAAATTTAAGCAAAACAATAATTGAAACAATATGTGTACATTTGTGCATGCCAGTCCTATTTTATAATTTAATAAAATTAATATTTTAATAAAATTTTAAATACCCCATAAGGAGGTCTAGTACATTTTTTTTATCAAAGAAAAAAAAAATTTAAACACATGCTCGTGTACGAAGGGGATAACAAAATAACGCCAAATTTAAAAAAATTTTTGAATAAAAAATATTTTCCAAAGTCCCCATAGACCCTTGAAAATTCAACGAGTCTCTAATATTAACAACATTTTTACTAACTTGTAGATGCAACATTGTAATTTAGTGCTTCAATCATCTGATTCTTATTGTGATGAATTCGAAATGTAGTGACGCAAATGTAGCATTTAAAAAATTAAAAAACATTTCGGCTAGTTTCTAAATGGACAACTTTAAATAAACATGATTTTACATTTGTGCAATGTGGTATTATATATTACAATATATTTGTAATATATAATACTGCATATTATATTGTTTTGTTTTGATATAAAAAAAAAACTACATCATAGCATGATATACTTTATAAATTTATTTTATAAATCTGATTTTTCAAATATTCTAAGGATAAATTTTTTTCAAAATAAAACAGTTTAAAAAATGTCGAATTGTTAAACTCCATTGTTACACACAAAAAAGCACCATATAAATATTAAAAAAAAAATTTTATTATTTCCTAAGAAGATACCTGATAAATATTTGTAAAACAAAATTGTTTTAAATTACATCTATAATAGAGTGCAAAAAAAATCGCTTTTTATAAGACCCAGACCCCTAAAATGGTGGGTGGGTGTGTGTGTGCTAAAAAAAAAACTCTTTATAATTTTTTTTTTAAATTTAAATATGTATATACTATTTACATATTTAAATTAAAAACTCCATAACTCCAACCCAAATCTAAATATTTTAGTAATATTTTGTAAAATATTTTCTATACCGTGCCGTGATTCTCTGAACTAGCACCAACCAGATCTATATATATATAAATATATATATATATATATATATATATATATATATATATATATATATATATATATATATATATATATATATATATATATATATATATATATATATATATATATATATATATATATTTATGGAAAACTTGGAAAATCCACATTATCATGTGGATTTTCCAAGTTGAAGGCAACTTTATGTCAAAGTTTATGCAAGAACTTGAGTGTGACAAAACGAGCTTTTAAATGTATTAAAAACATCAGAAAAATTTTCCTGTCACTCGTATCTAAAGCAAGAATGTTCAACTGCCAGAAAATCTTTTAAATGCTGTACTATTGGAATTAACTGAGGGGGACACCCTGCTACATCAAGTCTAGTTTTTCCAATATACACTTAAAGTTAGCTCCAAAATAACCAGATCCTAAACACAGTTATTGATTTCTTTAAATAAATCATAACAAATGCACAAATTATAATCCAACAATTTTTAAAAAAACAAGAATTGCCTACCTTGATATCCATGCCTTAAAATAGAATTACTGAACACCAAGGTCCATAATTTTTTCAACACTCTAAAAGTAAATCTTCTAACAAACTTAAAACAATCATTAATTACAAGAATTATAATTAAAAATGAATGTTCAAGGATTTCTATTTTATTATTACTTTCGTTTCACTTTCATTTACACTATTTCAAACAAAATTTGAAGAACATCATAATTGGTTTCCACATTTTCTTGTAGTTCCTTCACTTTTCTGAATATATTGCTCTCAAAGGTGTTTTTTCTTAAATCTCTTAATTTTGAGATGACAAAACAATTTAATTTCATTATTAGTCAGATCTATTGTAACATATAATTGCATAACTTTTTTTTTTAACAGATGCTGTTTCTTTGATGAGTTTTATTATCTGATACATCAACTTGAACTGTAAGTTTGTTTCCACCAATTGAAAGCATTATTTTTTGTCCTCTAAAAATATTTTCATTTTCCATTTTGTGTTTAAAAATATAAACTACCATTTGTTTTTGCACACTTTAAGTCCCATTAGCATGGATAAATGTTTTTCTTGCCTTGAATTAAATTAAGTTTAATGTTTTTGTCTTTATTGTATTATAAATTTTTACTTTAATTAAATATTTTTAAACAACTTAAATTTAAACAAACCTAAAAAAACAAAATAATTAGAACTAGATCAGGAGTTGAATTTGCTTTTTTTTTTAAACTTTGACAAATAATTCTAAATTTTTTAATAAACAAAACTTTTTTAAATAATAAAATAATAAGTTATTTTATTATTTAAGTAAGTTTATATATTTTTATTACACCAGCATACAGCACTATATTACAACACCATAAAGAACTTTTATTACACCAGCATACAACACTTTTATTACGCCAGCATACAACACTTTTACTACACCAACATACAACACTTTTATTACACCAACATACAACACTTTTATTACAACAACATACAACACTTTTATTACACCAACATACAACATTTTTATTACACCAGCATACAGCACTATATTACAACAGCATAAAGAACTTTTATTACACCAGCATACAACACTTTTATTACACCAGCATACAGGTTTAATAATAATAATTTAAAGTTTTGTATTTAAGTAAATCTATTTGTGTATCCATGTAAGTACACACATACAATTATATAAAGTTAATAGAATTATTTTAAAATAACAAAATTTGTAAAAATATACTCAAGTAACAATGCTAGTTAGAAAAAAATATTAAATACTTAGTTACAAATTCAAACTTAGAAAGATTCTTCAAAAATAAGTTATAAATCTTTTAAACAGTTTTTCATAGATTTTGTATAATCATTTAAAATAATTCTTAGACATATCTGATGCTTAAACTGAAAATATATTAACCAAGAAAAAGTTACCAAAAACTACAAAAAAACTTTAGGTGTTTATACTTATTAGGGTTGGTAAAAAAAAACTTTTATAACTAAACAATGGCGGCACTTCAAATTTTGGGCCCCCCAGAAAATATTTTTTAGGCCCCCACCACAAAGAGGGTGTTTTTTACATTTTTGTAATTACTGTTTTTGATCAGTTTGTTGTTGTTTTATATTTTATTTATTTCGATTTTTGGTCAAACCTTACTTTAATACAGGATTGAAATTTTTAAAATTGATAATAACTTTTAAACACTGCAGTTCTTTCAAAAAATATGGCCCCCTACAGCTCTGCCGTCCCACCGCCACTGTAACTGATTCTCACCAATTTATATATTCAAATTACAAAAAAATAACAAAAATTTTTTAATGCACACACCCATCCCACATATAAAAATCAATTATTCTGACACCCATTAATAGATGTGAAATTTTAAAAAATTTTGTTTTACATCTAGTTTTTTACAAATTTATCTTTTTAAGGAGTAAAAAAAATTTAGAGAGGGGCAACATAAAACCTGGCAGTTAATTTAGCACACTGTTCGCTCCTGTTTCAGTTTTTGTTGAAAATTATTATATCTGTTAAAAATTGTTATTCTCTAAGCAATAAACAACTTTTTTTTTAATTATTATATAAATTTTTTTTAATTGAGACCCAACATAACATACTTTTGAAAAACTCTTTTTTATAATATTAGGGATCCCTTAATATTCGTGAGTCTGTAGCAACCCCTTAAAAAAAACTTTTATTTAAAAATTTAAACTGAGAGTTAAATTAAGTGTTATTATATAGAACACATTATGGCAGTGCCAGCAGATGTTTAAAAAAAATGCCATTTAAAGAGCCACCTAGTGACCGTATTTCTAAAATAACAAGATCCATTCAACTTTGATTTTGTTAAATATTAAATCTTCTCTGATTTTAAACTTAAAATAACTTAAACTACTTCAAAACTTATGTTATTTTAAAAAAAACATTACCTCACACATTATACTTGCATAAGCTAACTGAGGGATACTTAAAAATACGCTTAGTTGCATCTTAGAATGACCTTTGATATTGGAATGACATTTCATGCATCTAGAAAAAAAAAAAAGTTTATACATACATAAATATATATATATATACATATATATATATATATACATATATATATATATATATATATATATATATATATATATATATATATATATATATATATATATATATATATATATATATATATATATATATATATATATATATATATATATATATATATATATATATATTGGGTGATAAGTAATTATCACCTGTAAAGTAGTTTCAAATAATTATCCAAGATGACTCCGTTTTGAAATAAAATGGTCATTTTTTGCAAGTAGACCATTATGTGATTTTTATTAATAAACTAGATTTAACACACTACAAAAATCATATTTATTTTTCAAAATTATTTTAAAAGTTTCAACTATAAATTATGTCTGAAAAAGAGTTCTTATGAAAACCTGTGTACGAGTTTTATGAAAAAATATAAATGAAGGAAAGAAGTACACAGTTGACCATTTTGTAGCATTATATTATGTACCATTTATAATATAATCAAGTGTTATGAAAATGAAATTGATTTGTACAAGTTTTATGAAAAATTCATTTGTAGTTAATTGTATGTTTCAATGGTTTTAAATCATAAACTAAAAACTAATTGTTTCAAAAAAACTAAAAAACCAGATAGAAATTTTGTTCAGATGGTGGAACCATGAAGCAAATGCCATGTTATATCCTTTATATGACTTTTCAAGGATCGTGATTGGGTTTCGGATGATGAATCTTAATTAACACTTTTACATTTAATTATTAATGGAAATGGATTCTATTATATTGATAATAAAACAAGATTGAAACTAAAGTACTAGTTTGGATAGCATTATCATGTAAAAGAATTTTTTAATTAATGGTTAAAGAAAGTGGCTTTGCTATTAACCATTATGTATATGAAAACGAATGGCTGGAAGCTAGATTAATACCATTTTTGAAATAGTACCACTCTGATCACAATTACATATTTTGGTCAGATTTAGCAAGTGTGCATCATGCACAAATGGTGATTTAGTTGAAAACAAAATCCTGCAAAGCTCCCAGAGTATACACTTATTGAGGACCTGGTCTCAATTAAAAAAGAAAGTGCACAACAACAACTTGTGCTTCAACTTCGAAGAAGATTAAAAAAATTGAAAAAAACTAAAAAAAATTTTTTTTTTGCCAAGATTAAGTTATGACTATAAAAATTAAAAAATAAATTTTAAAAACAATACTAATTAACAATATTTATTTTTAAAAAAATATATAATAAATATTTTAAAAAAAGTTTAATATTAAACAAAACAAAAAAACAAAAATAACATACCTATTTACTGTTCCATTTAGGTCATTGGATTTAAAACAAACATCACATGTGTTACTGCCATTTAAGCCAATTATAGTTGCTAATTAAGTTAATTATGTTAGAGATCAAAAAAACAATAAAGATGATTAAAAAAAACAATAAATTGATATTTAAATAAAGTCAATAAAAAATAAATTATTATTTAAAACAATCAAGCTAAAGTTTATAGAAACTCTATAGAACACAAAGTGTAAAACTTATATTAAAAAATATATATACAAAGTTATAAAAAAAAAAAAAAAAAAAAACCAACTAAAGATTAAACTCGCCTTCAACTAAATACAAATCACCCTTCTTTAGAGACAAACACATTGATGAAATAAGCTCAAGCTTTTTAGAAAGTCCATCCTGAAAATAATTATGAAGTTGTAGACTTGTGGTAGAAACACAGGCTCACAATCAGGTGGTTCATGGTTCAAATCCACCCTATGCATCTGGAAGTACTGCATTCAAACTGTTTCTCTATGTAGCAGCTTTGTTTAAAAAAGCTGCTGCATTTTTAAACCTTGTTTTTTAAACTTTGCAAACTGCAATGTTTAAAAAACAAGCGTTTTTTGCTCATATTTTAAAGTTTAGGGTTGAGAAAGAGTTTCAAATTAAATTAAAAAAAAAATGTAGCCTTATCAACTGAGTGGCCCCTTAACCCTGAGCTCTAAAGCCTTGTGGAGGTGAATTTCATAGTACATAAAAGATTTTAAAAGAATTAGTAAACAGGTTAATATTTGGGCGACAAATTTTTATACCTGGTTATTAGTTGTGTGATTAATTGTAGAAAACATGTCTGTTGTCAATTTTTGATCTAAAATATTTCAAGATATATTACATAATTATATGGTGCTTCATAATTATACTGTGTAGCATAGTTATACTGTATAACATAATTATTCTGTGTAACATAACTATACTGTGCAGCATAGTTAAACTGAGTAATGTTTTTATTATCATAACTTATTAATAACCCACACAGGGTTGCTAAATTTATAACCAACGGCTTAAACCATTTAAAATCACCAATTAAATAAAATAAAAATTATTTTATTCTAGGGGTGTACCAGATTGGAAACTTTGAATTCCAGCCAGGACCGGATATGTCAGAATTGTTAAAAAAATTTCGGCCAGAATGAGATTTATACTTATGTAGTTTTTACATTCAAGATTGAAAGTGGCTACATAATATTTAATTATAACCTATAATACATTTTTGATGAAAAAAGTTTGTTAGTTGGCCAAAACTTTTTTTGCACTACATTATTCCTAAACTTTTAGAAACCTTTACATAAGTGGTTACTGCAAGTAAAATTAGGCAAAGCTCCAGATATGCGGTTTAAAATAACTTTATTTTATTGCTTGTTGCGGCTTTCGTCTAGAGACTTGCTATAAGTCTTTTTAGGGTACAGGCAAAAAAAGTTAAAAAACAATTTTGCAGGGAAAAAAATATTCATTTCTAAAGTCTAGGTGACTAATAACTATTATAATCATTTGTATCAAAGCAATATAATTATTAAAAGTGGTGAACCTGACCGTGTTTTTTAACTAGTTCTTTCAAAAATCAATCTAGACATCAAAAAACTAGTTTTTTGACGTCTAGATTGATTTTTGAGGTAGATAAAATTATCACATTACCAAGATGGTTGACTTCTAAATATTCAAATTATTGAATGGGCATTTAAAATCTCTGCAGGCATTTTTTTTAACGCGGGCAGTGGTTTGGCCACCAAGTGGTGACTTTTAATATAAACATAAAAAATATTTATTAACTTTAGTAGATACATCTACTATTTTATAACCTACTTCTACAAGGGAATGCTGCTACATCCATTATCTTATAGCCTGCTGCTACAAGGGAGTGTTGCTACATCGACTATCTTATAGCCTGCTTCTATAAGAAATTACTGCTACATTGACTGAGGATTTGGCATAGGGCAACCATTTTTTCTTTTATTATTTCAATTAAAATTTCTAATATTTAAAAATTTTAAGTAACGAGAACACAACAAGTAAAAAAATAAAATTATATTAGAGCGCTAAACTGTAGATTTACTTAAAATTACATTGTATTTGTTAAGAATTTTGTATTTTCTACCTAGGTTTACCCATAGTTCTTTAATGCCCTGTAAGACAATGATTTTTTGAATTAATTAACACAGTTTGTGTTACATGTCATACATAAAAGTCACAAAATCTGGTCGGAATTACGGCTAGAACGGATTTCTGGTACATCCCTATTTTATTCATAAAAAATAAAATGAAAAATTTAACTCACAAACCAAATCTAGTATATTTATATTAGATTATTCTAATAATTTTTATGCACTTTAATTCTTAAAACTTGCACTTTAACTTTTCAGAATAAAAAAAAATTAATGATTAAAAAAAAAAAAATTTATGTCATAACAAAAGATCTTATATATCTAGATGCATTACCTAGGCAACCCAAAGCCTTGTTTTATATATATATGTATATATATATATATATATATATATATATATATATATATATATATATATATATATATACATACATACATATATATATATATATATATATATATATATATATATATACATATATATATATATATATATACATATATATATATATATATATATATATATATATATATATATATATATATATATATATATATATATATATATATATATATATATATATATATATATATATATATATAAAAAGCACAAATTAAAATATTTTGCAAAAGTGTAACTATCTCCAATATAAAATTTACTAATATCTCAAAAAATGTGTTAAAACACTGGAAAATGAAACAAAAATTAGTGATACTGGTAAAAACTTACCAGTATCACTAATTCACTAGATTCTAGATAATTGGAATCTTTCTGATGTTTGATGCTGCCAAATGATTTTATTAAATTTAATACTTAACACATTACCAATATCTCACCTTACCTCACCATCATCACACTTAATACCAACTATCTAATCAGCATTTAAACTCGTTGATATAAAAACTATACTTAAAAAAAACATTTTGAAGAGATGCACTAAAATATCTCATACATTGTTTAAATATCTCATACATTGTTTTAAAAAAAAATTATATAATTTGTTTAACAACATTATATAAAATATATTATATAAATATGCATAAAACATATCATACTTTAAATAAAATATATATATAAATAAAGATTTAAAGTATTTTGCACATTTAATGTCAACTTATTGTTTATGCAAAAGGTTGACCGAAAATTGACCCAAAAACAGATAAACTTAAATTTCTTAACAAAACGTTACAATTTTAGTTGTTAAAGTTTGTTAAACTTGTTAAAGTTTTTAGTACTTTTAAAATTTAATTTACTTTAAAAATAATTATAAAAGTTTTTGTTATGGATACTTAAAAAAAAAAGAAGTGTAAATAGTATAAAAAAAAACCTTTTATAAACACATCTGTAAAGAAAACATTGTGCATGTTAAATTTTAGCTGTGGGTCTTTCAAATAAACATCATCAATAAGACTTTGTGGTACAAGACATGAAGAAAATTTTCTAACAACATGTAAAATGTTGCAATGCTTGATTTCACAATACCCATAAAAATAACACTCTTGCTTTAAAACATCATCTGTGATCTGATTAAATGAGTCTGATGTTATTGATACCAATCTTAATATAAAAGAACCTCTAATATCTTGATCGATTGCCAATGGGCATTGAACTTTAAAATAAGGTACATATGGTACTTCTAAAAAAATACACCATTTTTTAAATTAGTTATTTATAGTACATTTATAAGACCATACCATTTTTTAAAAAAAGATAAAAATTGATAAAATAATGAATGTTAAAATAAGATAAAAATTAATTGGTATAACAAAAAACAAAACAAAAAAACATACCAAATGAGTCACAGGAACCTAGGAAATAGCACAATGAAAACTCGTTTACTTTGAAGGTATATAAATAGGGAGGAAGACTGTTTTCAGAATGTGATTCTGGGTTCTGAAAAAAATTGCTTAATTAGTATGTTTCTTATCACAGTGTTCATCTTATTTATTAAATGTCATAAACCAATTGCATTATTTATTAAATAAAAATTAAAATGTGCTAAAAGAATGGTGTAAAGAATATGAAGTATACTAATTTCAGTAAATACCATAAAAAAATTGTTATAATGAAATGCCATTATCAAATTGTTTTATTACATTATACCATTAATTTTTTTTTTATTATACATTATAGGTGACACTTTTCATAAATTATTAGTGACAGTTGCCATTTAAGAAAAGTTATTTATTATATAGTTTTACTTAGAAATAATAAAAGCGCAGTATAAACGTTTTAATATTTACAACAATGATAAAACATTGTTTATACTAGATGTCCAAAATATTGATAAGATGTTCAATATGTATAACAATGTTAAAATAATGCTTATATTTTTCAAGATGTCCAATAATTCAACAATATTGACAATTTTATTGTTGTTTTGTGTTTTCTTTATATTAAAAGATCATTTAGTTTATATTTCAAAGTTAATAATTTTGATAACTCCAACATTGACAACATTTTCTTTAAAAAATATTGCCAGGTAAGTTGAAATTTTTTTTTGACAAATTTATCAAACATTCTTTGAGGTTTAGTATGAACATAAGGTTAATTGAATGTTTTGTACATGCACGTGCAATACCAAGAAATTTTACTATCGGAGTCGAAGTCGCAATATATTTTAGCGACTCTGACTCCGGTAAAATTGTCGCAACTCCGACTCCACAGCCCTGACAAAAACTAATTGAATGCATGTACATATTAGCTTTTTTGTATACAAAAACTAACTGAATACAAAATATACACATCAAAACCTTCTAGATTTAACCCTACACAGTAAAAAAAATACCCATTATATTTTAGAAAAACATAACGCTAGATTTCATATTTTATAATGAGTAATTACCATTATGTTCAATATATAATTCATATGAAAAAACGTAATGACAAATACTGTTATGTTTTTTTCATATGAATTATACATTAAATCTAACAGGTAATTCGCATTATGTTCAACATATAATTTGTATAAAAAAAACATAATGGTATTTGCCGTTATGTTTTCTTCATAAAAATTATACATTGAACATATTGGGTAATTCGCATTATGTTCAACATTTAATTTGTATGAAAAAACAAAACGTATTGCCATTATGTTTTTTTCATACAAATAATATATTGAACATAATGGTAATTACCTGTTATAAAACATGAAATCTGGCTTTATGTAAGCGTTATGTTTGAAAACCTGATATAACCGGTTTTAACCGTTATATTTACTAACTTTAATAAATTTCAAAGCTAAAAAAAAAAACTCATAATATATATAAATATATATATATATATATATATATATATTATATATATATATAATTTTATCAACCCTCAGATTTAGGAAAAATGAGGTCTACCATCGTTTGCCGACTACGAATTTTCATCGAAAAACGAGGTCGGCAATATCTTCTGACCTCGAAATGAGGTCTGACTTTTGTATCAAATAATTTTTGCCAACCTGATGCAGACCTCCAGGTTATCAGGTCAGCATCAGGTCGGCAAAAATTATTTGAAACAAAGGTCTGACCATAAAACATAAAAAAGAGGTTAGAAATTTTTTGCCGACCTCAAACACTTTCAGGTTGGCAGTTAGGTCGGCATTGCTGAATGCCAACCCTAATTCCAAGGGTTGATATATATATATATATATAAATATATATATATATATATATATATATATATATATATATATATATATATATATATATATATATATATATATATATATATATATATATACATATATATATATATATATATATATATATATATATATATATATATATATATATATATATATATATATATATATATACATACAGCTGTATGCACAACACTGTACAGTGTTGTCATATTATTATTCATCTTTATTAATTTTATGTGTGTATAACATTATTTAATAATATTAAATGGAAACCAATCAGATATATTAGCAATCCATATTAAAAGAATGAGCTTCAGTAACCAAAAATATAATAAATAGTGTTAATATTAAAGTTGTTTGAGCACTCTTATTGCTTATAGAAAAATATTTTTAACATTTAACACAATTTGCATGAAATCCCCTTTTTTTACAAATATTTCTATGATGTCATACTACACGTAAAGAAACTAACATAATGGGTTACATAACAGTAAAACATAACGCCTTTCATAGACAAAAGAATACATAAATAATTTTGGGAAACATAACACTAAAGATATATTTTTTACTAACATAATGATAAACATAACACTAAATTTTTTACTAACCGTTATGTTAGAGTTATATTTTTGACAGTGTATATATAAACATTTTAACAACAAAATAATATAATGCTGTGCTTTTATTTTTACACTTTTTTTTAAAGCCATCAACCATTTTTTTTTTTTTGTAATTAATAAATTTAATTACAAAAAAACTGTTTACTGATTTCATTTTTGATATTCATCTTATGATGATTTACAAACTGATTACTGATTTTTTACACTTGCAGTTATAAACAACTAAACATAATCAAAATGTAACTAGTTAAATGATTTAATAAGCAGCAATAACTTCATTTAAAAAATTAAAAAGTTCTAAATTCTTTTAGATGTTTGCATTAAAGTAAAAAAACAGCTATACAATTTGTTGTTGCTGAATTTCTCAACAACAAAAAAAATTGGGGAAATGCTGTTGATCTAAAAATCAGTTAATTATTAACCTCATCAATTGATTATGAAAGTGATAGAAAACAAAAAATCCAGTTAAACAAAACTTTAGTACTGGAAAAATCACTTGCATCGCTTACATAAGGTAATAAAGCAAGAAAATGTTTTAAGGATTGTATACTATAAAAGACATTTATTTAAATTATCAAAAGATATCATATTGTTAAAAAGTGTATTTTTTATGATAAATGTATATATTTTTAAAACATCAAGTACAATTAATTTTATAAACAACAACAAAAACGATTGTTTTAATAAACTGTCTGATGAATCCATAAATTTGATAGTGGAAAACATAACAAAGTTATTTTTTTTGTTATGCTATGCAAACTTTCTAATAAAAGTAGCAAAAGCTATTTCAAATTCATATACTGTTCTTGGAATTCTTAGACGTACTTTCAAAAATTGGACTCTTGAAATGTTTCAGGTCCTTAACTGCTCTTATGAATGGCCTCATTTAGAGCATTGCTCATAATGCTACTCACCTTTTGGTATCCAGTCACTTAAAAATCGAAGCCGCCGAAGTGATCTTATACAATACTTTAGGATTTACCATGACATAAGCAAAGTTAAATGGATCGAATCACCATCTCCTGCTCCTGCACTTGCGCAACCTGGACCAACCGGCGGTTTTTGGGGTTTTTCCCATGTAACCCTGTGGCAGTTGATTGGAATCGCTACCACCAGATATCATTACCTTCGATAGAAATGTACCAGATATTGTCAACATTAACACTTTCAAAAAAAAGCTTGACAGATTTTTTTGCTCACTTCCAAAAAAAACTGTATGATTGGTACTTCTGTTTCTCGTTTGGGAATGTTATTAACTCAATGTGCCGATAATTTTATTTCTTTTTAATTTTTGTTTGGTAATCCTCTATACTGGATCTACCATAGCAGGGATTGGTTGCTTTCCCAGCCTCACAGATTTTTCTGTTGTAGATTAAATTTAATTAATTAATTAACACTTTAAAATAAAGTTTTAAAACACTATTAAATAATCATAGAATATTAAATAAAACTTTTATTTATTTCAAAAGTATTTATATTTAATGATGAATGCTTTTTTTTAACAATTTGTATTCCTAATTTTATAAACAATGACGACAACAAATGGGTTTCAATAAACTTTTTTTATAAATACTTTTTGATAATTAAAATAAAGTTAGTTTTTTATTAAATGGTAATTAGATGAAAGTTTTTTTATTTAAAAGTTAGATGAATATAATAAAAACATATAAAAATTTTATAACTGTCGCGATGGTTTGAAAAGGTTATAACTGTTTTGTAATGACTTTAAAAAAATATTTTACTTTTTTTTTAATGTTTAATTAAAATAATTTATATTATTACTGTTTTATGTATTCTTTATTTAATTGTTATATAAAAATACATAAGTAAATAAAAAACAATCATATAAATATTTTTATTTCTAAAAAAAAATAGAAAAAAAGATTTATTTGCTATTCTTCTAAAATAAAAAAAAAATCATTTAGAAATTTGTCAAACCAATGCGACAAACTTAACATAATTATAAAACATAATTAAAAATAATAATTTTCTATTAGAGTTTTAGTTTTTCAAATTTATATTAGTTGGTTTATTTTTAGAGCTATAGGTTTTAATTTTTAATTTTTATTTTTCTTTCATCACGATTTCTTTCTTTTTAATATAGTTTAGCCTGTTTATAACTTTTTTTTCCTTTGTCAATTTTATTCAGCATGTTTTAAATTATCTAAAGATTTTTATATTGATGTAATATGATTCTTTTATTAATGTAATATGATTCTTTTATTGATGTAATATGATTCTTTTATTGATGTAATATGATTCTTTTATTGATGTAATATGACTCTTTTTTTGATGTAATATGATTCTTTTATTGATGTAATAATATGCATAAGATTCTTTAAAATATTGGTTTTACAATATTTACAATAATGATGGAAAAGACACAAGAAAAGAAATAGTGTTGAACAGTGTTATCTATCTTAAGTGTTAAAGACATGAAATTCTATTTATTGACTCAAGCTATTAACTGTTGCTATAACATTGTATCCAACATTGTTGTCCAACATATAATAATATTGTATCCAATATTAGTCAAAATTTTAAAATGGACTAAAATTCTTAAAATTGACTGTAATTCTTAAACACCCTAATATTGGCTGAATGTAGTTCATAATTATTTTAGTTTTTTCAAACAA